TACCGTGGCTCTGAAGGGCCATGCCATGACATGGTATATTTTTTTAAATTTGTTTCCCCCAAAAAATTGACTGTTCATTTTATATTTATAAATAAGATGTCGTATTGTTCAAATTCAATTTAAACTGAAACTTTTCCTTTAATTGACTTACAACTCAGAATTCTGACTTATAACGTAGAATTCTGACTTATAACATGGAATTCTGACTATATAACTCAGAATTCTGACTTATAACTCGGAATTTTGACTACATAACTCAGAATTCTGACTTATAACACGGAATTGTGACTATATAACTCAGAATTCTTACTTATAACACGGAATTTTGACTATATAACTCAGAATTCTGACTTATAACTCGGAATTCTAACTTATAGTTATAACACGGAATTTTGACTTATAACTCAGAATTCTGACTTACAACTCGGAATTCTGACTTATAACACGGAATTCTGACTTATAACACGGAATTCTGACTTAAAACGCGGAAATTTGACTTATAACACGGACTTCTGACTTATAACACGGAATTCTGACTTAAAACGAGGAATTTTGACTTATAACACGGAATTTTGACTTATAACACGGAATTTTGACTTATAACACGGAATTTTGACTTATAACACAGAATTTTGACTATATAACTCAGAATTCTGACTTATAACACGGAATTGTGACTATATAACTCAGAATGCTTACTTATAACACGGAATTTTGACTATATAACTCAGAATTCTGACCATAACTCCGAATTCCTGGTGGCCCGACATTTTGCCGAAAGACACTTTGCCGAAAGACATTCTGCCGAAAGACATTTTGCCGAACTGACATTTTGCCGACGGACGTTTTGCCGAACGGACGTTTTGCCGAACAGACATTTTGCCGAACGGACGTTTTGCCGAACGGACAGTTTGCCGAACGGACAACTTGCCGAAAATAGAGATATCTTCTGAACTTTAAAGGTTCGCTTACACGGTCAAAGTTTCTGTGGTTAAAGTCATTGTCGATTTTGATGACAGAAACTTTGATAGTGGAGTATAGTTTCGTTTTATATTCTTTCAAGTTTTTTCAAGTTTACCGAAATTTCGCGATATAAAGAAGAACATCATTCAACATCATTCATGAATGCGATTTCCCCGAGAACTGTGAATGTATTCCATGATTGTCGAAATGAAATTCGCTTACGTCGTTGTCTTCATGTACGCTTGTTTGTTTATGATCTGACGTCAAAACACGTTCCTAACAAATGAGTCATCCGCTGCACAAACAAGCTACCAATAGTCAATGTGGTTATGCACTGCTAACGACCCATTATATGCACTGCTAGTGACCATTATGCACTGCTAATGAACATATAATGGTTATTTTACACAATGGTTGAGAATTACACAGTTCAGAAATGAGTCACAGTCCCAAACATTTTGATGAAATAACATCTCTATTTTCGGCAAGTTGTCCTTTCGGCAAACTGTCCGTTCGGCAAAATGTCCGTTCGGCAAAATGTCCGTTCGGCAAAACGTCCGTTCGGCAAAACGTCCGTCGGCAAAATGTCCGTTCGGCAAAATGTCTTTCGGCAAAATGTCTTTCGGCAAAGTGTCTTTCGGCAAAATGTCCGGGTACCCTGCTCTTTGAAAAGGGAGTTCTGCTATTTGAAAGGTAAGCTCCACTAATTGAAAGGATGTTCTGCTATTTCAACAGGAAGTTCTGCTATTTGAAAAGGAAGGTCCGCTGTTTGAAAAGGGAGTTCTGCCTTTGGAAAGGCAGTTCTCCTATTTGAGATGGGAGTTCTTCAATTTGAAAATGGAATTCTGCTATTTGAAAAAGGCAGTCTTTCTCTTTGAAAAGGGAGTTCTGCTTTTGCAAAGGAAGTTCTGCTATTTGAAAAGGAAGTTCTGCTATTTGAAAGGAAGTTCTTCTATTTGAAAAGAGAGTTCTGCTATTTGAAGGGGGAGTTCTGCAATTTGAAAAGGAAGTTCTGAAATTTGAAAAGGGAGTTCAGCCATTTGAAATGAAAGTTGTGCAATTTGAAAAGAAAGCTCCGCTGTTTGAAGAGGGAGATCTGCATTTGAAAAGGGAGTTCCACTATTTGAAAAGAGAGTTCTGCTATTTGAAAAGGTAGCTCTGCTCCTTGCAAAGGGAATTCTGCTATTTGAAAAAGGAGTTCTGCTCCTTGCAAAGGGAGTTCTGCTATTTGATAAGGGGGTTCCCCTCTCTGAACAGGAAGTTCTGCTCTTTGAAAAGAAATCTCCACTATTTAAAAAAGGAGATCTGCTATTTGAAAAAAAAGTTCTGCGTTTAAAAGGTAAGCTTCGGTATTTGAAAAGGGAGTTCGGCTTATGAAAAGGGAGTTCTGCTATTTGAAAAGTGAGTTCTGCCTTTGAAAAGGGAGATCTGCTATTTGAAAAGGGAGACCTGCTGTTTGAAAATGATGTTCTGCTCTTTGAAAAGAAAGTTCCGCTATTTGAAAAGGGAGTTCTGTTTTTGGTTTCGCTAATTGATAAGAGAGTTCTGCTATTTCAAAAGGGAGATGTGCTATTTGAAAATGTAGTGCTGCAAAATGGGAGTTCTGCTGTATGAAACAGCAGTTCTGCTAATTGAAGAGGAGTAGTGCCCTTTGAGAAGGGATCGAGTTCTGCTATTTGAGAAGAGAGTTCTGCTATTTGAAAGGAAAGCTTCGCTATTTGAAAAGGGAGTTTCGCTATTTGAAAAAGAAGTTCTACTATTTGAAAAGGAAGTTTTACTATCTGAACAGGAAGCTCCGCTTCTTGAAAAGGGAGTTCTGCTGTTTGAAAAGGGAGTTCTGCTATTTGACAATGATGTTATGCCGTCTGAAAAGGGAGTTCTGCCCTCTGAAACGGGAGTTCCGCTATTTGAAAAGGGAGTTCTAGTATTTGAAAAGGAAGATCTGGTCTTTGAAAAGAAAGCTGATGCAAAGCTATTTGAAAACGGAGTTCTGCTCTTTGAAAAGGGAGTGCTGCTATTTGTAAAAGGGAATTATGCTATTTGAAAGGGGAGTTTCGCTCTTTCAAACGGGAGTTCAGCTAGTTGAAAAGGAGTTCTGCTATTTGGAAGGGTAAGCTTCGGTAATTGAAAAGGAAGTTGTGCTTTTTCAAAAGGAAGTTCTGCTATTTGAAATGAAAGGTGCGCTGATTGAAAAGGGTGTTCTGATTTTGAAAATGAAGTTCTCCTATTTGAAAAGGGAGTTCTCCAATTTGAAAATGGAACTCTGCAATTTGGAAAAGGGAGTTTTGTTCTTTGAAAACTTAGTTCTGCTATTAGAAAAGGGAGTTATGCCATTTCAAAAGAAAGTTGTGGTATTTAAAAAGAAAGCTCCTCTATTTGAAGAGGGAGGTCTGCATTTGAAAGGGAGTATTACTATTTGAAAAGAGAGTCCTGCTATTCGAAAAGGTAGTTCTGCTCTTTGCAAAGGGAGTTCTGCTATTTGAAAAGGGAGTCGTGCCATTTGAAAAGGGAGTTCCGCCAACTGAAAAGGAAGTTCTGCTCTTTGAAAAGAAATCTCCGCTACTTGAAAAGGGTGTTCTGTTTTTGGTTTGCTAATTGAAAAGAGAGTTCAACTATTTCAAAAGGGAGATCTGCTATTTGAAAATGGAGTTCTGCTATTTGAAAAGGTAGTGCTTCTATTTGAAAAAGAAGCTCTGCTTTTGAAATGTAAGCTCCGGTATTTGAAAAGGGAGTCCGGCTTATGAAAAGGGAATTCTGCTATTTGAAAAGTGAGTTATGCTTTTGAAAAGGGAGTTCTGCTATTTGAAAGGGGAGTGCTGCAATTTGAGAAAGGAGATCTGCTATTTGAAAAGGATGTTCTGCTCTTTGAAAAGACAGTTCGGCTATTTGAAAAGGGAGTTCTGTTTTTGGTTTGCTATTTGAAAAGAAAGTTCAACTATTTCAAAAGGGAGATCTGCTATTTGAAAATGGAGTTCTGCTATTTGAAAAGGGAGTTCTGCTATTTGAAATGGGAGTTCTGCTATATGAAACGGCAGTTATGCTAATTGAAGAGGAGTTCTGCCCTATGAAAAGAAAGTTCTCCTATTTGAAAAGGGACTTCTGCTATTTGAAAAGGGAGTTCTGCTCTTTGATAACGAAGTCCTGCTCTCTGAAAAGAAAGCTTCGCTATATAAAAAGCGAGTTGTACCGTTTGAAAAGGAAGTTCTGCTATTTGAAAAGAAAGCTCGGCTATTTGAAAAGGAGTTCTGCTTTTGAAAAGGGAGTTTTGCTATTCGAAATGAGAGTTCTGCTTTTTGGAAGGGAGTGCAGCTATTTGAAAAGAACTTCCGCTATTTGAAAAGGGAGTTCTGTTTTTGAAAAGGGAGTGCTGCTTTTGAAAAAAAAGTTCTGGTATTTGAAAAGGAAGTACTGCTATTTGAAAGGGGAGTTCTGCTATTTGAAGAGGAAGTTGTGCTATTCGACAAGAAAGCTCCCCTATTTGAAAAGGGAGTTCTGCTTTTGAGAAGGAAGTTCTGCTATTTGAAAAGGTAGTTCTGGTCCTTGAAAAGGCAGTTCTGCTATTTGAAAAGAGAGTTCTGCTCTTTGAAATAGGCTCCGCTATTTGAAAGTGTAGTTATGCTCTTTGAAAAGGGAGTTATGCTCTTTGAAAAGGTAGTTTTTCTATTTGAAAGGGGAGTTCTGCTATTTGAAAAGAAAGCTCCGCTATTTGAAAAGGGAATTCTGCCATTTGAAAAGGGAGTTCTGCTATTTGAAAAGGAAGCTCCGCTTTTTGAAAAAGGAGTTCTGCTATTTGAAAAGGGATTTCCGCCATTTGAAAACGAAGTTCTGCTCTTTGAAAAGAAACCTCCGCTATTTGAAAAGGGAGTTCTGCTGTTTGAAAAGGGAGTTCTGGTTTTCAAAAGAGAGTTCCGCTATTTGAAAATGGTTTTCTGCTTTTGAAAATGGAGTTCTGCTATTTGAAAAGAAGTTCTGCTATTTGAAAAGGAAGTGCTGCTATTTCAACGGAAAGCTTCTCTATTTGAACAGGGAGTTCTGCTATTTGAAAAGGGATTTCTGCTATTTGATAAGGAAGTTCTGGTCTTTGAAAAGAAAGCTCCGTTATTTGAAAAGGGAGTTCTGGTATTTGGAAAGGGAGTTCTGCTATATGAAAAGGGAGTTCTCCTATTTGAAAAGGGAGTTCTGCTATTTGAAAAGGAAGTTCTGCTCTTTGAAACGAAAGCTCCGCTATTTGAAAAGGGAGATCAACTATTTGAAAAGGAAATTCTGCTATTTGAAAACAAAGGTCCGTTATTTCAAAATCGAGTTATGCTTTTGAAATGGTTGTTCTGTTATTTCAAAAGGGAGTTCTGCTATTTGAAAGGGGAGTTCTGCTATTTGAAAAGGAAGTTCTGAAATTTGAAAGAAAGCTCCGATATTAGATATTGAAAAGAATGCTCCGCTATTTGAAATTTGAGTTCTGCTTTTGAAAAGGGAGTTATGCCATTTGATAAGGGTGTTCTGCTATTTGAAAGGATAGCTCCGCCATTTGACAAGGTGTAATGCTATTTGAAAATGGAGTTCTGCTCTTTGGAAGGAAAGCTCCGCTATTTGAAAAGGGAGTTCTGTTTTTGAAAAGGGAATGCTTCTTTTTGAAAGGGGAGTTCTGCTTTTTGAAAAGGGCGTTCTGATATTTGAAAAGAATGTTCCGCTATTTGAAATGGGTGTTCTGTTTTTCGTTTCGCTAACTGAAAAGAGAGTTCTGCTATTTGAAAAGGGAGTTCTGCTATTCGAAAAGTGAGTGCTGCTATTTGAAAAGAAAGCTCTGCTCTTTGAAAAGAAAGCTCCGCTATTTGTAAAGCAAATTCTACCATTTGAAAAGGAAGTTCTGCTATTTGAAAAGAAAGCTCGGCAATTTGAAAATGGAGTTCTGCTATTTGAAAGGGAGTTCAGCTATTTGACTAGGTAGTTCTGCTATTTGAAACGTGAGTTCCGCTATTTGAGAAGGGAGTTCTGCAATTTGAAAATGCAGTTCTAGGATTTGAATGGGGAGTTCTGCTCTTTTAAATGGGAGTTCTGCTGTTTGAAAAGAAAACTCTACTATTTGAAAATGGCAGTTCTGCTATTTGAAAAGGGAGTTCTGCTCTTTGAAATAGGCTCCGCTATTTGAAAGGGTAGTTCTGCTATTTGAAAAGGGGAGTTCTGCTCTTTGAAAAGGTAGTTTTTCTACTTGAAAGGGGAGTTCTGCTATTTGGAAAGAAAGCTCCGCTATTTGAAAAGGGATTTCTGCTATTTGAAAAGAGAGTTGTGCTATTTTAAAAGGAAGCTCCGCTATTTGAAAAGGGAGTTCTGCAATTTGAAAAGGGAGTTTCGCCATTTGAAAACGAAGTTCTGCTCTTTGGGAAGAAACCTCCGCTATTTGAGAAGGGAGTTCTGCTTTTGAAAATGGAGTTCTGCTATTTGAAAAGAAGTTCTGCTATTTGAAAAGGAAGTTCTGCTTTTTCAAAGGAAAGGTTCGCTATTTGAACAGGGAGGTCTGCTATTTGAAAACGAATTACTGCTATTTGAAAAGCAAGTTCTGCTCTTTGAAAAGAAAGCTCCGCTATTTGAAAAGGGAGTTCTGCAATTTGGAAAGGGAGTTCTGCTATATGAAGAGACAGTTCTCCTATTTGAAAAGGAAGTTCTGGTATTTGAAAAGGGAGTTCTTCGATTTGAAAAGGAAGTTCTGCTCTTTGAAACGAAAGCTCCGCTATTTGAAAAGGGAGATCGACTATTTGAAAAGGAAATTCTGCTATTTGAAAACAAAGGTCCGCTATTTCAAAAGTGAGTTATGCTTATGAAATGGTGGTTCTGCTATTTGAAAAGAAGTTCTGCTATTTAATAAGGAAGTTCTGCTATTTCAAAGAAAGGTTCGTTATTTGAAAAGCGAGTTCTAGCATTTGAAAAAAGCCAGTTCTACCATTTGAAAAAACGAAAAGTATTGCTTTTTGAAAAGAGAGTTCTGCTATTTGAGAAGGGAGTTCTGCAATTTGAAAAGGGAATTCTGCTATTTGAATAGGGAGTTCTGCTCGTTAAAATGCAGTTCTGCTATTTGAAAAGAAAACTCTACTATTTGAAAATGGCAGTTCTGCTATTTGAAAAGGGAGTTCTGCTGTTTGAAATAGGCTCCGCTATTTGAAAGGGTAGTTCTGGTATTTGAAAATGTAGTTTTTCTATTCGAAAAGTGAGATTTGCTATTTGAAAAGAAAGTTCCGCTATTTGAAAAAGGGATTTCTCTTTTTCTTTTCGCTAATTGAAAAGAGAGTTCTGCTTTTTGAAAAGGCAGCTCTGCTCTTTGAAAATGGAATGCTGCTATTTGAAAAGGGAGATCCGCTGTTTTTTTTTAATCACTTGAAAATCAATAAGATTGAAGGTCAGGACAACGGAACAGAAGTTCCCAATTAAGTTCCACGAAAACACACAAATACAGATGTGCATGAAAACTATTTGCAGCTGGAAAAAATTAATCTCAATTGAAGAATGCTCGAACGGTTAATCTATTGAAAGTCAGTATGTGACGAATTTATACGAAAAAAAAATGTATCCAGAGTTATAACGAAAACTGGCATATTAAGGATATAACAGATTAAACCATCGACCATGCTACGAGCACCTAGGTATTACGAGCAGCAGTTTATTTGCAGTGATCTACAATTATCCAAGTTCTAAACCTATCTGCATCAAATACTGTAATCAGTTTATTAAAGTAATATTCATATAGTTTAGCTTTAAGGACGTATACAGAAGAAGAAGATTTAATATTACCGGGCAAGCTGTTCCATAGATACACAATTCTATTGAAGTACGAGTTGCTGAAGAGAGTAGTTCACATACATTTGGACGCAGAAATTCACCAGTACTGGACCGGGTCGACCGATGACAAGGTCTTTCGATATACTTATCAATGTCAAGATCATTCAGCCCCGCTTTGCATTTATAATAGGAAACAATGTCCTTTATTTCCAGCCAATATGAGACAGGAATCAAGTTTAATTTCTTTAAGCGATCCGAGTAAGACGACTCTTAGTC